AATTGAAGGCATAACATTGTATAGGGTGGTTTTTATGTTTTTTGTATATGTTTGTGTGTGTGTATATATATGTGTGTTTGTGTGAAATGTTGTATATGTGTGTGTGTGTGTGTGTGTTTGTGTATGTATTTTTTGTATGTCTGTATGCATGAATATGTGTATGCATGTATGCGTGTATGTTTTTTTTTAAATTTTATTGGCAGCACTTGTGTGACTGTATACAAAGGTATTTGTTTGTTCGTTCGTTTGTTTGTTTGTTTGTTTGTATGTTTATGTATGCAAGTTATGTATATTTGGCTAAAGATTTAAGCACCTTGCTTACATTAGCCCTGTCAGATTAATGTAAAATGAAATTTTAATACAGCCGTGATGAAGATTACAAACTTTATTTATTTCAAAATTTATATTTGTATGTTTGCATGCATGTGTATATGAATGTATGCATGGTAGTATGCATGTATGTATGTATGCATGCGTGCATGTATGTATGTATGTACGTACGTATGTACGCCTTTTTTTGGTGCATATATGAATGCATGGGTGCATGAATGTGCGTCAGTTTATATATGAAAGAGAAGATGGATCTGTTGAAAAATTGTTTTATTCTTAGAAATAAGAGTAATGAAAAAAATGTGTTGGCAACTTTACCGCAACGTTTTACTATTAATACAATCACTCAGTCATCCTTAATTACTTAATTATCACATTTCCATTATTATAGTTAATTAAATTAAATTAATTACTTTATTTATTTTGATTTTGTAAGGATTATTGTTATGTTTTTCACCGTTTCGAGGTTTTTATTCTGTAACTAACTAACAACAACAACAACTGAATGAACAGCAATAGTGAAATTAGCATCAATAAAAATACTAACAGCAAAGAAATTTAATTGAAAACAGCATACGCCACGAGGTTATGACGTTAACAAAGATTCATTCAACTACAAAGAATGCCTGGATTTCCAAACCACACAACAACAACAACAACAACAACGACAACAACAACAACAACAACGACAACAACAAAAACTACAGTTAGACTGGCAACAACAATATCAAAATGACATCAATAACAGATTTGATAAAAAACGCATCTCTTAAACTTTCAACTTCGTCAAAAGACGCTCTGACAGTTGAATGGAGTTTCGTCATTCAAGATGGAAAGTGTGGTCAGTTAATTCAACTCAACTATGTGACGACAAATGACCAACAACAACAGCAGCAGCAACCACAGCAGCAGCAGCAACAACAACAGCAGCAACAACAACAGCAGCAACAACAACAGCAACAACAGCAGCAGCTACTACACCAACAGCCACCACATCAAAAACATCATTATGTTTTCAACCAACAACAAGTTGTTAACATATTCAAAAGATTGGTGACATCAATTCCAAAAACAACAAAAATATCAATGACATACACAACAACAACAACAACAACAACAGCAACAACAACAACAAAATCTACAAATTTTTTCATTTTGAAATCCAGCCCCATTAAAGATTCATCAAATTTTTCAATTGATAATTTCGTAAAATTTCATAATGCTGATAATAATAATAATAATAATAATAATAATAATGACAATAATATTTATAACAACCATCATCATCATCGTCATCATCTTCGTCGTCGTCATTATCCATACGAGTCTAATGAAGTAATTAAGTTTAGGATTAGTTATCAGGCAGTCGGCAGTTCTCGCATTCAATATAGTGATTACGTTCGAGTGACGTCATGTCTGTTGAGGAGTGCTCAAGATGAATTGCACGACGACCGCGACGACAACAACAACAACAATACTCATATTAACAACTACAACAACATCAACAACACCAACAACACCAACAAGATTGTCGAAAATAACAACGTACATCAAAACTTAATGCCATCATTAACAGCACCGTCATCATCATTTCTAACATCAACAACAACATCAACAACAACATCAACAACAACAACAACGACAGCATCAACAACATCAACGACAACAACAATGACGGGGACCATTGAACTGCAGCACCTACATGAGAACACGCAATATAGGATTTGTATCGTGTTCGGCGATGACGTCAACAATAACAACAATAACAACAACAACAACAACAACAATAATAATAAGAAGAAGAATAAGAATAGCAAGAATCTTTTTCAAAATAATTACGATTATGGAAATAAATTCAATGGCAGCAATGATAGAATGAAAGAAAATAATAACAATGATAGTAATTATTATGACGATGATGAAGAAGGAGGTGCTGATAATGATGTCAAAATTAGTAACGATGATGATAATGATGTGATGATAAGGTCGGTGTTGATGATGATGCTGTTGAAAAACAGAACCAACAAAGCAACATGATGAAGCTCGTTCGAGATAAGATAGGCCGTTCAATTAAACAACATCCAACTTTTAATCGCCAACAACTTCAACACCAACAGCAACAGCAACAACAACAACATCAACGAAAACAACAACAATATCAACATAAACAACAAACACGACAACAAAATCATCATCAACATCAACAACATCAGAAACAACATCAGAAACAACAACAAACCGATCGACAATCAACAAGTAATTTCCTAGGTATTGAAAAATTTACAAATTTTTCAGCGACTTCTAAGAGAAATTTTTCAGAAAAAACTTTTAAAAAATTGGAAGCCTTGTCATTATCCTCATCAGCGTCGTCACTATTACCATCATCATCAAGAATAACAACAACAACAACAACAACAACAACAACATCGTCGTCGTCGTCATCTCCTTCACGTCATCAGCACAATCATCACCTGCTACTTTTCAAACGTCATTCAAATGAGATATTTAATGACGCAGACAAACAGCCGCCTAATCATTCAACTCGTCATCATCAACAACATCATCAACAACATCATCATCAGCAGCAGCAACAACAACAACAACAACAACTGCATCATCGTCGTCTATTTCACGACTATTATTATCAACATTTCAATCATCTTTCAAGTTTTTCTAATCATAATTGTCATTTCAATTGTTCTCAATCTCATCGTTACGAAAAAAGTTTGCAACAAGAACAACAACAACATCAACAAAATCAACAACATCAAAAACATCAACAAAATCAACAACATCAAAAACATCAACAACAACACCAACAACAACACCAACAACATCATCGCAAAATACGAGAAATTAACGAAAATAACACTAAGGAGAACGTGTCCTATCGTTCAATCCATCAGCAACTACAACAACAACAACAACATCAACACTTCGAGACACAACAACACAAGCAACTATGCATTCTTGCCACAACGACTCCAAGTTCAGTTGCACTTACGTTCGCCAGTGCTTTCGGTGCATTTCTCGTTCTAGGTGCAATCATACTACTCGTCCTCATCTCAAAAATGCAACATGGCTGCCGAAGAAATAAAAACCGCGGGAAAAGTAACAGCAAAAATGGCGCCAACCAAAGAAGCGATGATAATGATGCCTGTGGAGGTGATGATAACGATACTCGTGGTGATGGTGATAATGTTGGTAAAAGTCAAGGTTATATTGTTGTTTGTGATGATATAGAGGAAGTTAGTTTTGTTGTTGGTAATGATGATGATGTTGTTGCAGCTACTGCAGCAGCTGCTGCTGTTGGAGGTAAAGAAATAAACAACAACAATGATGATGATAGTGATGATGACGCCATTGGAAACGTTAACAAGCGACGAGATATCGGAGACATGGTGTTATTAAAATCTATAAACAACAACATCAACAGCAACAACGATGTTGTTGATGATGATAAAATGAACGTTTCATACAACAACAACAACCACAACAAAAATGATAGTAACGACATGATAATGATCAACATAAACAGCCGCAACAAAAACAATTTCTGCGACATAAACAAAAACAAATTGAATGAAACGACACCGGAAAAGGAAATGGAAAGAATTAAATTGAAAACACAACAACAACGACAACAACAGCAACAACAACAAAAACTAGATGGCCGACCAGCGGGAATAACTTTAAATAGTACAACCTGTCCGAAATTCGTATTGACAGATGAGTTTGGAGTCGTCGCTCAGTTCGATGATGACTTGAATGTTGCTACTAAAACATCCAAAAAATCAACAACAACAACGTCAACAACAACATCATCAACAACAACAACTTCAGCAACATCAACAACAACATCAACAACAACAACAAACGCCTGCAATGATTACGAGGAAATCGATCGTCCAGGCAAAAGTTATGATAATGATTTTGGTTATTCTGGCAGTAATGATAACGATGTCAGATTTGGTGGTTGTGGTGGTGGCGATGATGATAATGATGGTGGTGATGATGGTGGTGATGATGGTGGTGATGATGGTGATGATGGTGATTTTTATTGGCCTCCTGATATCAGTAACCAGCCGTGTGTTGTGAGAGATATAATTAACGGAAATGACGTTGATGACAAAGAATTTTCAAACAACAACAACAACAATATCAACAACAACAACAATAATAAACAACCAACTAGCAAGAGATTGAATAAGAAAAGGATGCTTCAAAGATCAATTGGTTTCGATGATGACGACGATTGAGTGAGTGAGTGAGTGAGTGAGTGAGCGAGTGAGTGAGTGAGTGAGTGAGTGAGTGAATGAGTGAGTGAGTGAGTGAGTGAGTGGATGAGTGGATGAATGTATGAATGAATGAAAAAATAGATAAATGAATAAAAAAATGGATGAATGAATGAACGAATGAACAAACGTATGAAACAAACATCTACCAATTTAAAGTAATTTGATTACATTCATAATAATGATTGATCATGTTGTGTTGTTTGCAATGATGATGGTGGTGATGATAACGACGACGACGACGATTCTGCTGCTACTACTGCTACTGCTGCTGCTGCTGCTGCTGCTGAAGACAATGATGATGATGATAACAACGATGATGATAGTGATTACGTCGTTGAGATTGAAATTATGAAAGATGACGATCGCGATGATGATGATGATGGCGAAAATGACGTCACCATAAAAAACAACAACAATAATATGAGCAAGAATAAAATACCCAAATACCATTTATAGAGAATGCGTGTATCGCTAACTCAATTACTATTGAGAAAAAAATTCGAAGAAATATCATTTTGCTAACACGTAAACAGTAACGCTTTGTATTTGTGTATGTACGTGTGCATGTATGTGTGTGTGTGTTTGTATGTATGTATGTGTGTGTGTGTGTTTTTGTATGTGTGTGTGTCTGAATGTTTGCATATAAGTCCTGTCACATTTCGTTTTTTTATATGTTAGAAAAACTTTTGACATAGATAGATGCATTCAACCAAACAAACATACATACATACATACATACATACATACATACATACATACATACATACATACATACATACATACATACATAAAAACAAAGACATAAACAAACATACAAAAATACTTTTTCGAACTAAGGTAAGCCTTTCTCTCCGTTTAATTCATTGTACATCTATCGATGATGCTTCTAATTCAACTTGTCGTTCGGATATTTTTAGTTCTTTTTTTTCGCATAAAATTTTTATATGGGTCTTTGTTGCTGAATGTATGTTTTGTATTTATGTTCTATATATGTAAACACAATTTTCACCACCATAAAACACAACAATTATTGTTTTCTTTTTCACTCAAACAATGTTTATGTGTTTATGCTTATGTAAGTTAGTGTTTATGTGTTTATGCTTATGTAAGTCCATGTTTATGTGTTTATGTTTATGTGTGTTCCTGTTTGTTTCTGCGAGTGTGTGGTTTAAAATTTGATCTTAAGTAATCTTTATTTATTACATCCATTTCATCGCTTGAGTGTCTGATTCCTTTTTTGTATTGATTGGAAGGAGGTCATCTTAACACGTTCTTCAACGAACGAACAAACGAACAAACGGACAGACAGACAAACAAACAAACAAACGAACAAACAAACAAGTAAAGGAATAATGCAAACAAAAATTATATATATATATGTATATGTTTACGATCCTACATTTATAAGCCATCTATATGTGTTTGTGTGATGAATATATGTGTGAATGCATGTGTTGTATGTATATTAGAAGTTAACATAGGATCGGGCACGCGGAAATCCCATGTAGGTGTACAGATATGCTTGTTTATGTTCATTGATTTATAAACGATTTTTAAATTTCAAATTTTGCTCATGTCTGTTGTTGATCTTTGTGAATTTAACGTTATATATAATGCAAGGATACATACATACGTACGTACACACATACACACACACACACACACCACACACACACATACACAACAAACACACAACTACTTCAGTTTATCATAGCCATCTTAAATAGACATTGAAATCGAATAAAGGAAAATTTATTGGCTTCGAAATTAGAACGATGTTCATTATTCCATCATCATCGACTAGTCATAAATTTTTCGGAACCTTTTTTATTACTCATTTGATCTTCCTTCATGATATATGAATGCACATTCACACATACACATACATACACTCACACATACATACACATGCAAACACACACATGTACGTAGATGCATGTGTGTGTTTGTGTGGGTCTTTGTGTGTTTTAATACTGAAGTATTATTAGCGACCGTGGTCTCTCTCTCTCTCTCTCTCTCTCTCTCTCTCTCTCTCTCTATATATATATATATATATATATATATATATATTTGGGAATAGACCATAATTT